GTGGTAACGGAGGGGGTGGGGGTGTTGTCGGTGGGGGGGTGAGGACAGTGGGGGTGGGGAGAGTTAGTGTTGGAAAGTGCTCAGTAGAGGATGTGTGTTGGGGTGTGGGATTGCAGGGTCGTGGTAACGGAGGGGGTGGGGGTGTTGTCGGTGGGGGGGTGAGGACAGTGGGGGTGGGGAGAGTTAGTGTTGGAAAGTGCTCAGTAGAGGATGTGTGTTGGGGTGTGGGATTGCAGGGTTGTGGTAACGGAGTGGGTGGGGGTTTGGTGTCAGGGTTCAGTGGGGGTGGGGGGAGGCTCCGGAGACCCATTTGGCTGCTGTCGCAGGACTGGCTTCTTTGTTTTTGGACAGGTTCCCTCAGTGGAGGGGGGGGCGGTGGAAATTGCATTGACGTGGCACCTTCCGCACGCAGCCCCTCCAATCACCCCCCCACCCCCGTCAACCCCCGCCAACCCCCGCGATGTCCCAGTGCAGCCACTGGAGAACATCGGAGAGAAGGGGGTCGGCCCACTTTGGCGACGTAGGGGACGCAGAGCAAGATCCCACCGACCCTGCCCGCGAGGAATGCAAAGCGGGAGGAGGGGTGACGGGGTGGCCTGGTTCCCCCTCCCCTCCCCGCCCCGCACGGTGGGTGCCGAGGGTACGGGGGAGAAGGGTGAGACCGAGGATGGCCCGAGAGCCAGAGGAGTGGAGTGTGGGGAGGAAGGGAGGTTGAAGGTGGTGGGGGGGGGGGAGGAGAATGGCGATGGAGGGGGTAGGAGGCTGAGGAATGAAACAAAGAAACGAGATGAGGGTGTGATTGAGCACGTTCCTGGAGCAGGTGCACTGCCGTCCTGGAGATGAGAAGCCGAGATGCCGAAAAATAGAAACGAAACATTGAGAGAAAATGAAACAAAATGGGAGGGCGAGCTGTGCCTGAAACCCGGGGCGGGGTGGTTAACCGTGAGAGCCCTCACTGCTCTAACCCCCAGAGTATTCCCAGCCCCTGCTGCTTCAATATTCCCCAATTCCCGGTGTCCCGGAGTATTTTAAAATTTATTTACCGTGTTATTTTAAATTGGGTTTTGCACAGGCTCGTATGGGTGCTGCAAATCTGGAACAGAAACAGAGCGTGCTGCAAAAACGCGGCAGGTCTGGCAGCACCCCATGGAGAGAAATCAGAGTTAACTTCTCGAGTCCACTTCTTCAGAAGCAGTCTCAAAACATCAACTCTTTCTCCAACGTGTTCCGGTTTTATTTAGGACTTTACAATCCTTATGGAAAAGGTGTAGACACTGTTGATTAGCCCGTTTTCAACAAAATTGACCAAGCAGACCCCAAGTTGCTGCTGTTAAGTATCTTTTAGAAATAACGTGTTAATGTAAAGAAATCATTGTAACTGCTCTGCTGGCTCGGGGAAAGTTTGGGATGATAGGAAATTTGAGTAGACACTTGAGCGTAACGTGACCAGGCGAATCTCGAAACACAATACAGGTCTGACAGTTCCTCCTGATTGCTTAAGAATGACAACTCTTCACCCCAGTTAGGTTTGTTGCATTTTCCATTTGTTTTCTAGAAGTTTCTTTCTATTAAAAGCACGTCACACGATAGTGAGAGCATGGAAAGTATTCAGCAAGGCTGATAGGATTAGAAGAGATTTCTACCGTGGCTCTTATCAGCTGACAATTGGCGATAAAGCTTTTGAAAAAGCTGTGTTGTTTAATCTCTCCCTCCCTCCATCTCATTCTTTCTATCTGTCTTTCTGTGGCTGTCTCTGTCCCCCCTGTTTACTCCCTCTGTGTCTCTGTATCCCTGCTGTAAGGCAACAGCTATAACCCACGCAAAATTCTCAGGGTGGGGGGCTGCGGTTAATTGATTTTACACCTGCTGTGATATTCTTCATTTGGGCTGGGGGCCGGGAGGGTGAAACTGGTGTCCTCTTTGATCCTTTGACCCTCTAAACAGGGCGAAGAACTTTACAAACTGCTGGCAAAAGTGGAAAATAATGACATTTTATGAGGCAGCTCACCACCACCTTCTCAAGGGCAACTAGGGACGGGACAATGAGTGCTGCAAGGGCAACTAGGGATGGGGCAATGAGTGCTGGACCCAACCAGAGACGCCAACATCCCACGAGTGAATAGAAAGGAACAAAAAGCTGAACGTTTATTTTGCTAAATTTACACCCGAAGGAAGCTGTGTGCTGCCTGAGCCCTAGCTCATTAGGCCTTTGAGCTAATTGGCCAGGATTTGAGGCCTAGCTTCTTTCTATTCATGCGTGGGGTCTGCGGTAACTGGCTAGTCCAGCATTTGTTGCCCAGGATGAGGGCATCACTGACTAGGCCAGCATTTTTATTCCTTTTCTGTTCGTGGGATGTGTGTCACTGGCCAGGCCGGTATGTGTTTCCCAGAGGGCAGTTAAGAGTCAACCACGTTGCCCTGGGTCTGGAGTTACGTGTAGGCTAGACCAGGATAAAGTGTGGCAGTTTCCTTGCCTAAAGGAAGTCTCTCATTGCTCTGGTGTGGGAAGAGATTTATAAAACCAATGAGCCAGAGTCACTTATTGCCTATTCTAGAAGTGGCTGCTGAGATTGAGATTGATCATGCTGCGGTTTTAACTTTCCAAAAGTTCTTAAATTTGGGAAGGATTCCTTCAGATTGGAAGCTAGTGAATGGAACACCTTTCTTCAAAGAGGGAGTGAGACAGAGAGCAGGAAGCTACAGCTCAGTTAGCTTAACACCTGCTGTAGCGTTGCTGTTAAGTAATTAAGTAATGTCACTATAGTCCCAGAGGACCCTAGGGCTGCTCTCTCATTCGATAGAGAGAGAGCGAGAGAGATGGTGGAGGTGGTCTAACCTGGGCCTCACCATGCCTCAGGTGAGAGGTAGAGTTGAGAAGGCGAGTCCTTTATGGAAGCTCATCCAGTACAGGAGTCGAACCCATGCTGATGGTGTCACTGTGCATCTGAGTCTAGCTAACTGACTCCCCAAAGCACGGTGTTTGGGTAAATTCAGGGTAATCGGGTAGAGTCAACATTGTTTTGTGAACAGGGAATCGTGTTTAACCAATACTGTGGATAGGAGGGAACCACTCGATGTACCATACTTAGATTTCCATAAGGCATTTGAAAGGATGCCATATTGAAGGTTATTAAAGGCAAATAAAAGCACAGAATGTTGGGGGTAATGTAGTTGGCATGGATAGCAGATTAGCTAGCTAGCAGGAAGCAGAAAGTAGGAATAATTGGGTCTTTTTACATTGACAAGATGTAATGGGTGGTGTGCCTCAGGGATCAGTGCCAGCTGTTTATATTTTATATAAAAACCGAAAGAACTGCGGATGCTGTAAATCAGGAACAAAAACAAAGTTGCTGGAAAAGCTCAGCAGGTCTGGCAGCATCTGTGGAGGAGAAAACAGAGTTAACATTTTGGGTCCGGTGACCCTTCCTCAGAACAATTTATATAAGTGGCTTAGTTTACGGGATGGACAGTTGCTAAATTTTCTTTCAACTCAAAGATATGTAGGAAAGTTGCGAAGAGGACAGTTGGAGATTACAAAAAGTTATAGATAGGTTAGATGAATGCACAATGATTAGAAAATGGAATATAAAGTGGGAGAGTGTGAAATTGTCCAATTTGGCAGAAAAAAAATAAAAAGCACATCATCGAAATGGTGAGAGCTTGCAGGGCTCATGCGATGCAGAGGGATCTGGGTATCCAAGCATATGTACACTGGTACAGCAAGGAAACAGGAAAACTAGTAAAATGCTGTTCTTTCCATGCAAGGGGAATTGAATACAGAATTGTTGAGGCTATGCTTCCGTTGTACAGGGCACTGGGCAGGCCATATCTGGAGTACACTGTACAGTAACACATACAGAAATTGTTGGAAAACCTCATCAGGTCTGGCAGCATCAGGGGAGAGAAATCAGAGTTAATGTTTCAGGTCGAGTGACCACCAGTTCTGAGGATGGGTCATTCGACCCGAAACATTAACTCTTGATTTCTCTTCACAGATGCTGCCAGACCTGCTGAGCTTTTCCAGCAGTTTCTGTTTTTGTTCCTGATTCACAGCATCCGCAGTTCTTTCGGTTTTTATTTTATACAGTGAACAGTGTTGGTTTCTTTACTTTAAGGAAGGATGTGAAAAATAATTTGGAAGCAGTTCAGAGAAGATTTAGCAGGTCAATACCCAGAATGGGTGTGTTATCTTATGAGGAAAAATTGGACAGATTAGGTTTGCATGAAGGGTAAGAGGCAACTTAATTGAAAGATATGAAATCTTGACGGACCTTAACCGAGTTGATGTGGTGAGAATGACTGTCTTTGAAGGAGAATCTAGAACTAGGGGTCACAGAGATAAGGCAGTTTTTTTCTTAATAGGGTCATGAGTCTTTGGAATGTTCTTCCTGAAATGACATGGAGACTTTGAACATTTTTAAGGTGGTGGGAGGGTAGATGCTTACTAAGCGAGGTGGTGAAAGGCTATTGGAGTTGGGTGAGAACGTGGATTTGTAGTTAGATCAGCCAAGATCATATTGATGGCAGAACAGGATTGAGGGATGGAGCGGCCTACTGATGGCCTGTTTATGTGCCTTAAATATGTGTGGAATGAACTGTCGGAGGAAGAGATGGATGTGGGTACGGTTACAATGTTTAAAGGACATTTGGATAAGTACATGAATAGGAGAAGTTTGGACAGATATGGGCCAAGTGCAGGGAAGTGGATCTGGGTATGGTGGGCATGGACTGGTTGGACCGAAGAGTCTGTTTCCGTGCCGTCTGACTCTAAATGCTTTTTAATGCTGCAGCTACCACAGAGCCTGTCTCCGATTACACAGGACATTTCGGTGTCCTTGAGCCTTTCACAGGCACCATGACTGAAAGTGTTTTACTCTTCTCCGGTCTCTGCAGCACTGGGCAGTATTCCAGACAATCACAGAGATCTTCATCTTGGTTCCAGCTCTGGTCGGTCTGAAAGGCAACTTGGAAATGACCCTTGCCTCCAGGATGTCGACAGCAGTGAGTACCAGCCTCTGAATCGCAGGGTTTCAGTTGTTGCTGTGTTCTTGTGTTGGGGAGATTTGCTGCTCGGGAGGTTTTGAACGAGTGTGGGGTGTGGGTCAGGATCAATAGCAGCAGTGGGAAAAGAGATTGAGGTTGGTACAGTAGGCAAGGGGAGGAGGTCAAATTGACAGGACAGGCAAGCAGATGGCCAGCAGAAAACAAGGGAATTTCCAGTGGATTAAACTGCATTCATTTCAATGCAAGAGGCCTGACAGATAAGGCAGATGAACTCAGGGCGTGGCTGGACACTTGGGCTGCAGAGTAGGGAACACTGGATGACGAGAGATATTGAGGCTCTGGTCAAGAAAAAGAAGGAGGCAGATGTCAGGTAGAGACAGATGTGATTAAGTGAATCCCTGGAGGAGTATAGGAGTAGACATGAGGGATATCGGGAGGGCAGAAAGGAGGCATGAGATAGCCTTGGTAGGTAAGGTAGAATCTCTTTGGATCCTCCTAAACAAGAACATCAAGGTCAAAAGAGGAATGAGGGAGAGAACAGGGCTGCTTATAGGTCAATGAAGCCATCTATGTTTGGAAGCATAGGAGATGGGTGAGATATCAAACCAATATGTTGCTTCATATTCACTGTGGAGAAAGACATGGGCCTATGCTTTGATGTTGGCCTGTTCTGGTTCAGACCAAACCTGGTGGATTTGATCATATGAACTCCTGATGACTCCACACTCCCATGTTGACTGTCCAAAAGATAAGAATCAGTAGACCAGAAGCACCGTCATCTTCTGTCTTCGTTCATCTTCCTCACCTGCCCCTCATATCCCTCAGTTCCTGGAGTGACCAAAAATCCGTTTGTCTCAGCCTGAACAGCAGTCACTAATGGAATGGACATGATCACAACCCAGTGATTAAAGATGATCCCCCCCGCCGTTAAAGATCAGCCCGTTCTCCTGAGACTCTGCCCCTGTGTTCCAGATCAACCAGTCAGGGAAACCAATGTCTCAGTACCTACTCTGTCAGGCTTTCTCTACCATCCAGGAGGATAAGGCCAGTGGATACATGGGAATGCCATCACCTCCAAGAATGGAATAGAGGCAGGCTGATAGGATTATGTTAGAATGACATCATGGTTGGCACAGACAAGGTGGGCCGAAGGGCCTGTTCCTGTTCTGTACTGTTCTGTGTTCTATGTCCAAATACTCACCATCCTTACTTGGAAATATATCGCGGTTTCTTCAGTGTCGCTGGATCAAAATCCTGGAATTCCCTCCCTAAGGGCTTTGTGGGTCTATCCACAGCACATGGACTGCAGCGGTTCAAGAAGGCAGCTTACCCCCACTTTCTCAAGGGGGCAGTTCAGGACCGGCGATAAAAGCTGTTCATTTTGGTAGCGAAAACATCTCTCCTTGCATTGTCAAATCCAGCCTTCTCCCTGAGACTGTGCCCCTCTGTTTCTGCACTCCCCATCTGGGCTCTGGGGGAAGAGGGAGTTACTGGATGGCACGAAACCACCTCTTAGCATCTGCCCACACACAATCTCCAAATTTCAAGAGGGCCACGTCTCAATATTTTAAACTCCAGTGAATGTAAACCCATGGGACTCAATCTCTCATCACAAGACAGCCCTTGAAAACCCTTTGCCGTACTCTCCCAGATGGATGACTGCTGTATCTTCTGTCTGGAGACCAATATGCCAGTCATAATTCTGTTTCATTTTCTTTTATTCTTTCATGGTATGTGGGCATTGCTGGCTGGGCCCAGCATTTATTGCCCATCCCTAGTTGCCCCCTTGAGAAGGTGAGCTGCCTTCTTGAACCACTGCAGTCCATGTGCTGTAGGTTGACCCACAATGCCCTTAGGGAGGGAATTCCAGGATTTTGACCCAGCGACAGTGAAGGAATGGTGATATATTTCCAAGTCACGATGGTGAGTGGCTTGGAGGGGAACTTGCATGGCATGGTGTTCCCATGTATCTGTTGCCCTTGTCCTTCTGGATGGAAGTGGTCCTGGGTTTGGAAGGTGCTGCCTGAGGATTTTCATAGAATCCCTACAGTGTGGAAACAGGCCATTCAGCCCAACATGTCCACACCACCCCTCTGAAGAGCATCCCACTCAGACCCGTTCCCCTATCCCTGCATTACCTATGTCTAACCCATCTAACCTAAACATCCCTGGACACTATGGGGCAATTTCCCATGGCCAACCCACACAGACACAGGGAGATTGTGCAAACTCCACACAGACAGTCACCCGAGGGTGGAATCGAACCTGGGTCCCTGGTGCTGTGAGGCAGCAGTGCTAACCACTGAGCCACCGTGGCGCCTTTCAGTATGCTGCTCCTTTGTCTGGTGAAGTGAGCTTACTTCACTTGAGGAAGGGACGAGGCTCCGAAAGCTTGTGGTTTCAAATAAACCTGTGGGACCATAACCTGGTGTCGTGTGATTTCTGACCTCATTCACCCCAGTCCAACACCGGCACCTCCACAACATTGTAGATGGTGGTCAGGCTTTGGGGAGTTGGGAGGTGAGCCACTCGCTGCAGTATTCCTGGGATCTGACCTTGTAACCCCTATATTTATGTGGCAACTCCAGTTCAGTTTCTGGTCATTGGTAATCTCTCAGATGTTGACTGTGGGGGTACAATGATGCCAAGGGACAATGTTTAGATTCTCTCTTGTTGGAGTTGGTCATTACCTGGCATTTACGTGGCACAAATGTAATGTACCATTTATCAGACCAATTTTGGGTACTGTCCAGGTCTTGCTGCAATTGGGCATGGAGTGCTTCAGCTTATCTTCATTTACTTTAGCAGCCTATATCTGTATTAATAAAGATATGAATGTCATCTTTTATTATTGACAGCCCTCTCAACTTGAGGATAGGCTGACTAGCAGAAGACAGAGAGTGCGAATAAAGGGTCTTTTTAAGGATGGCAGCTGGCAACGAGTGGAGTTCTGCAGGGGGCTAAGGGACCACAATTATTCACGTTATACATTAACAATCTGGACGAAGGAACTGGGGCAATTGTTGCTAAGTTTGCAGATGACACAAATTAGGTGGAGGGACAGGTAGTATTGAGGAGGTGGGGAGGCTGCAGTAGGGCATGGACAGGCTGGGAGAGTGGACAAAGAAGTGGAGGATGGAATGTAGTGTGGGAAAGTGTGAGGTTATGCACTTTGGTAGGTAGAGGTGTAGACTATTTTCTAAACAGGGAAAGGCTTCAGAAACCTGAAGCACAAAGGGACTTGGGAGTCCTAGTTCAGGATTCTCTGAAGGTTAACATGCGGGTTCAGTTGGAGTTAAGAAGGCAAGTTGAATGTTAGCATACATTTAAGAGGGCGAGAATACAAGAGCAGGGATGTACCGCTAAGGCTGTAGAAGGCTCTAGTCAAGCTGTATTTGGAATATTGTGAGCAATTTGAATGCAGTATCTAAGGATGGATGTACTGGCATATAGGGGGTCCAGAAGAGGTTCACTAGAATGATCTGGGAATGAAGGGCTTGTCATTTGAGGAGTGTTTGAGGACTCTGGGTTTATACTCTATGGAGTTTAGAAGGATGAGGGGGGGATTTGATTGAAAATTATATGATACCGAAAGGCCTGGATAGAATGGAGGTGGAGGAGATGTTTCCACTAGCAGGAGAGACTAGGGCCCGAGGGCACAGACTGAGTGTGAATGGATGATCTTTTAGAACAGAGATGATGTGGAGGTGCCGGTGTTGGACTGGGGTGGACAAGGTCAGAAGTCACACGACACCAGGTTATAGTCCAACAGGTTTATTTGAAATCACAAGCTTTCGGAGGGTCGCTCCTTCTTCAGGTGTTAGTGAGAAAGGTGGTATCAGACACAGAATTTATAAGTAAAAGATCGCAGTGTCACGCCACTGACGAGGATGCACTAAACAAACCAAAGATGCTGTTAAATCTTCAATCAGTTAGAAGGTTTGAATTAATTAACATGTATATGTACATCCCCAAGTTCCTTTGAAGTCACTGCCCTGAGAGAACGAAAGGTTTTATCAGTGTAAAGAAGAGGTGACGTTTTAGGTCAGACAATGAATGTTAGGTGTGAGGCCTTGTTTAGAATCTGTGTTTTAGTTTGGAGTCAGCCTGGTTTTATTGCTAAAGTAGGAATTTATAAAACGCCGCATTGACTGACTGTCTATAAATTGTGTGTTTTTTGAACAAAATAGAATGTATCTGCAAATACAGATTCACCCCTAGATTCACGTGTGTGTGTGCGTGTGTTTGCGTGTGTGTGTGTCAGGACCGTGACTTCAAAGAAATTCGGGGATTTACATGTACATATTAATCAATTAAAACCTCCTAACTGATTAAAGATTTAACAGCACCTTAGGTTTGTTTAGTACATCCTCATCAGTGGTTTGACCCTTTTGATCTTTTACTTATAAATTCTGTGTCTGTTGCTGCCTCTCTCACTAACACCTGAAGAAGGAGTGAGGCTCTGAAAGGTTGTGATTTCAAATAAACCTGTTAGACTATAACCTGGTGTCGAGTGATTTCTGATCTAGAACTGAAATGAGGAATTTCTTCAGCCAGAGGGTGGTGAATCTGTGGAACTCAATGTCACAGAGGACTGTGGAGACCAAGTCATTGAGTGTCTTTAAGACAGAGATAGATAGGTTCCTGATTAGTAAAGGGATAGAGGGTTACAGGGAGAAGGCAGGAGAATGGGGTTGAGAAACATATCAGCCATGATTGAATAGTGGATCATTCCTGATGGGCTGAATGGCCTAATTCTGCTCCTATATCTTATGGTCTTAAAACCTTCAAACATTTGTATGTACACCACCCCTTCCCCTCAAATCTCTGTTTCGGCCTCCTTATTACACTGATAGATTTAACTGTCTCTTACCACTCCTGTTGTGCTATTGACTGATTCTCAATAAGCCTCTATGTTTCATAAGACCATAAGACATAGGAGCAGAAATTAGACCATTCGGCCCATCAAGTCTGCTCCACCATTCAATCATGGCTGATAAGTTCCTCAACCCCATTCTCTCACTTTCTCCCCATAACCCTTGATCCCCTTGATAATCAAGAACCTATCTATCTCAGTCTTAAATGTACTCAATGACCTGGCCTCCACAGCCTTCTGTGGCAGTGAATTCCATAGATTCACTACTCTCTGGCTGAAGAAGTTTCTCCTTATCTCCATTCTAAAAGGTCTTCCCTTTACACTAAGGCTGTATTCTTGGGTCCTAGTCTCTCCTACAATGGAAGCATCTTCCCAACATCCATTCTGTCCAGGCCATTCAGTATTCTGTAAGTTTCAATTAGATCCCCCCCTCATCCTTCTGAACTCCATCGGGTGTAGACCCAGAGTCCTCAAACATTTCTCATACATTAAGCTTTCCATTCCTGGGACCATTCTCGTGAACCTTTTCCAGGGCCAGTACATCCTTCCTGAGGTATGGGGCCCAAAACTGCACACAATACTCCAAACGTGGCCTGACCAGAGCCTTATAAAGCCTCAGTAGTACATCCCTGCTTTTATATTCAAGTCCTCTCAAAATAAATGCCAACATTGCATTTGCCTTCCTGACTACTGACTCAACCTGCAAGTTGACCTTGAGAGAATCTGGACTAGAACTCCCAAGTCTGTTTGCACTTCAGACTTCTGAATTTTCTCCCCATTTAGAAAATAGTCCATGCTTTTATTCTTCTTACCAAAGTGCATGACCTCATACTTTCCCACATTGTACTCCATCTGCCACTTCTTTGCCCACTCTCCTAACCTGTCCAAATCCTTCTGCAGCCTCCCCGCCTCCTCAATACTACCTGTCCCTCCACCTATCTTTGTATCGTCTGCAAACTTAGCCAGAATGCCCACAGTTCCTTCATCTAGATCATTAATGTACAAAGTGAAAAGTTGTCATCCCAACACTGACCCTTGTGGAACACCACTTGTCACCGGCTGCCATCCTGAGAAAGACCCTTTTATCCTCACTCTCTGCTTTCTGCCATACAGCCAACCTTCTATCCATGCTAGCACCTTGCCTTTTACACCATGGGCCCTTATCTTACTCAGCAGCCTCCTGTGCGGCACCTTGTCAAAGGCCTTCTGGAAGTCCAGGTAGATAACATCCATTGGCTCTCCTTGGTCTACCCTGCTCGTCACTTCCTCAAAGAATTCTAGCAGATTTGTCAGGCATGACCTCCCCTTGATGAAGCCATGCTGACTTTGCCCTACTTTATCATACACTTCCAAATATTCAGCAACCTCATCCTTTACAATGGACTCCAGAATCTTACCCATGACTGAGGTTAGGCTAATCGGCCTGTAATTTTCCATCTTTTGCCTTACTTCCTTTTTAAACAGGGGTGTCACGTTAGCGATTTTCCAGTCTTCTGGGACCCTCCCTGACTCTAGTGATTCCTGGAAGATCACCACTAACGCTTCCACTATCTCTTCATCTATCTCCTTTAGAACTCTGATGTAGTCCATCTGGTCCTGGTGATTTGTCCACCTTCAGGCCAATCAGTTTTATTAGCACCTCTTCCTTGGTGACGGCCACCATACTCAGCTCTGCCCCCTGACTCTCAATTTTTTAGGAGA